TCTGTAAATGTTTGATGTCACTGTAGAAAAAAGAAACCATCAACACTGTAATTTCCTGTTGGGTTGGGAACTCTGCGGAGACTGAGGGCAGTGGGTTTCCAGCCGATGGGGCCAGTGGTTGTGCTGATGGAGGGGAGACTGTGGGGCCGAGGAGCCCATTCCTCTCCCACCCCATGAATTACAACCACCTTTGTTCCTGCCAGCAATGGCAAATGTCTTGAAACTCTGAAATGGAAAGGTTTGGATATGCAGCTTGCTGGGATCGAGATAGCCGATCACCATAAATCAGATGTTTAAAGCCTAACTCTGAAATGTATTAGCTGAACAGCCCTGTGTGCAGTCATGTTTTCCTAATTTTTATCTAATGAAATGAGTTCACATCATCATGAAAACTGAAATTTTTTAACCTTAGAGTAAGGAAAAAAGTATACGTGAAGTGATGCTTACTCCAGGCTAATACAGATTTCCTGACAGATGGTTACAGAAAGCTTTGTGAGGTGAAGATTTATTGCAATATTTTTACTGCTAATGCAAATGTCATGCCTGCAAAGATTTGTTGGCAAAAAAATAAATGCTGGGCCTTTTTTTTAAAAAAAAAAGTTGTAAACCAGTGCCTTTCAAATAATTTCACAGAGGGAAGAAAGTTGTATATACAGCAATATTTGGGCATGTAACCATAGATGTGAAAATAAGGGTTGGATTCATGAAAGTGAGTTAGTATCTCACGTTTGGGTTTTTTTTTTTTTTTAATAGCTATCTTGTGAGCCTTCTGAAAAAGAAAAGCAGCTTCTCACCAAAAAAGGTGGATAGCTGCCTTGCAAGCCACATTTTGCCAGTATGCAAGAAATGTTTTAACAGTCTGTGGCAGTATTTCTGATTGGTGTATTTTGTCAAGTTTTTAAACTTTTTACATTTTGCCCTACCATTAAAAAGAAACAGAAGAAGCTGGCTTGTAAAGTTCTTAAGTGATACTAAATTCTCTAATCTGTGCAGAGCACCAACTCTGTTTTTAAAAAAATACTACATCTCAAGGAACTCAAACTGATTCAAGCAAGCAATCTGTCACATGAATTAAGAAATTGCATTCAGCTCCTTTGGTGATACTAACGGTCTTTGGTATGTAACAGAGAAAACATACAGCCATAAGAGAAAAAAACAAACTGCGTAGTTGTGCAAGTCAGTTTGGTTATTTTGCTTCCAACAGATGTCTTTGAAACAAAGACTGTGTCTAAAAATAGCCAAAAAAAACCCCAAACCCACCTCACCTGTAATTTGAAGCTTCCCCTTTTTCAGAAGTTGCCTTTTAGATACTTTTTATGAGCACAGTTGCTTGCACTAGTATTGGATACTTCTCATTGTCTATCTGGTGTTCCTGGCAGCTGGCATTCTTGGTGTGAAATGCAAAATAACGTTATTTCCCTGCAAAAAAAAGTCACTCTTCAAAATGAAAAGAATCAGTGGTGGCTTTTTCCTTTTTGTTTTTCTTTTTTAACATTCCTATTTCTATGAAGACAAGGGTTCAATTCAATAGACAAGTTACTCGTCATTCAAAGATTTTTCTCATGGCTATAGGAGCCAGGCTGCAATTCAAACAATATTTGTGGGCTACATCCAAGCAGCAGAATGTGGGCAGCACAAAGCAAATGTATGGGTCAGTATCAGCTCAGGGGAAGATTTCCCTCCATGCACAGGTTAGAAATGTTTCCTGCTAAGAGCTGCAATGAGTAGAGGACTTTGTTTTTGGTGGCAGAAATGGAACCAATGCATCAGAAAAATACCTCCTGTTTTGGTGCCTTCACTGCCTTCGGCTCAGGTGGTTTATTTTTTTAAGGAACATTTGTCAGCTTTTTTCTTATTTTTAACAAGCTCTTTCAAGAATCTCAGGTGATCTGAGTGAACATTGTGAAGTCTCAGAAAAATCTTTGTAACTGCTAACATTATTTACATGTCAAATATTTGCATGGGAAGGCACTACAAGAGCTTAATGTATGTACTGAAAAAGTTCCTAATTTCTTTTTGAGCATATTTCACCCCTAGATGCTACATGGGTACCATAGGTAGCCCAGATTGATGTGGTAAGTATTTATTTTAGCCAGTGTAAGAAATAGTTGCATAAATCCCTATAATTGACCAGAATGCAAGTTAAAACTGCCTGTAGGCAGCTGTATTATCTTTTGAACTATTTGAGAAAGTTCCCTTTTTTAATAGACCTACTGTGCTATAGTCTTTTGAGCTCAGAATATCCTTTTCCACCTTTTTGGCATGCACGTCCTTCAGGGCATAACGTTAGCTATTTGTGCACAGGGGAAGGAGGCTTCAATGAATACCAAAACCACAGAATTAATTAGTTTTTAGTACAGTCTGAACTTTTTATGACTAAATTCCATAGAAACCTTAACACAGCATAATTCTTTATTGAACTGAGCCCTAAATTTAAGTAATGGTTTTACAAACCTTTTGGGAAATCATTTTTTGGTATCTCTAGTCACACTCCAAAACTGTGTAAGCAAGGATGGCTCCACAGAGATTTTACATATTAGCAATAGGAATTATATTTAAAGTATGAAAAGTGCTGAGCAATTTTCCTGGATGCCAAAGCATATTAGTATTCAAAATTTGTTTATATGGGTAGCTGTTTTGTACGTGGTCCTGCTGCGCCTTTAGGAACCCTTCACATCTATTCATTTCTATCAGAAGAATACGCTTGCTTCCTACATTAGAAAGGACCCATTTTTCTTCCACCACTCCCTCTTTTTTTCTGAGAAATCCAAAAATAAGATCCAAAAGTGTATCAGAGTATTCGAAGGGCAAGCTTTTTGTGGTCAGTATCAGTAATGCCTTCATCTCCAAGTGTGCAAAATTCATTTTGTTTAAGGCCATTAGAAGAGAAGTGTTTTGGTATGTCCAGTGGACCTGGGTATCTTCTTCCAACTGGAAAAAATTTAACCTTCATTGGATTTTGGAGTCTGCCTCCTTGGAGATATTCAAAAGCCATCTGGACATGGTCCTGGGGCAACCGGTTCTAGGTGGCCCTGCTTGAGCAAGGGGTTGGACCAGGTGACCTCCAGAGATCCCTTCCAACCTCAACCATCCTGTGATCCCATGAACCTGTCAGGATGGGGTAGCTTGGTGTCTGGAGTTCCAGCGCATGAGATTGTCTACATTATACAATGCATTGATTGAGAAGATGTTACATCTTTTTCTGCTAAAAAGGAAATTTCCTGGTAAAATGGCAAGTAGTGCAAATTTGTTGTTCACCAGAAGAAGTTTTGGGTTTAAAACTCGGCATTTTATGTCTTATTTCCTCCAGTTCAGATTTTGCAGCTGCAGAAGCATATACACCAGCCTTAGAGAAAATTCTATTGTAAAAACCTTTGCTTTTGCCCTGCACGTATATTAAAAAATACAAATGACTTCAAGGCTGAAAGTTCCAGCTGAACAAAACTGGAGACCAGG